GGGGCGGGGGGAGGAGGGGTTGTGGAGGTTCAGATTCTGGGGGAAGTTTCCAGGGAGTTTGAAAACAAAAGCGCAGGTCTGCTTCCAGCTTCGGGGCGTGAGAAAAGGTCTGGAGGTGAGGCATTTTGCTGTTAGCTTCCCCCTCTGCAGTGCTGTGAACTCGAGTGGCTGGGAAGCAGTGCTTTGAGGGGGAGACGCAGGCCTCCCTGCCCAGGTGAACCCCCCACCCCACCCCCAGCACTGGCTGTGAGAGTAGCCAGAAAATGGCAAGATTCTCTCCCTGCGGTAGGAAGGAACGATGTAAGCGCATGTCCAGCAAGGCTGCACTATTGGAAATACAGTGAACTCAGAGATGTCAGGGCCCTCGAGGCTGGAGCTGAGGGAGGGGATGTTGGGGAAGGTGGTACCTGGCCCACCCAGTTTGCATCTCACCTAGCTTGGGCTTGTCTCGTTTCCAAGTGGCCTCTGAGTACCTGGTGTGGTCCGGCGTCTGCCTCCTTCTCCTGGGGCCCATGGAGCAGATGCAGCCGCCTTCAGGATTGAGGCTCACGAGCCGCAGCAGAGGGCACCGCCTTCCCTCCCTCCGTCTTCCTCCAAGTGTCCCCATCCTGCACCCTCAGTACCACCTCCAGGCCTTTGCCCAGGACAGCTCCTGTCCCAAAGATGCATCCGCTCTGGGGCTTATCCCTTCTAGCAACCCCTCCAGCCTAGCTCCAGCAGGCAAGCCCAGACCCTCCGCTCTGGTCACTGCAGTCCCTCTGCCACCCAGCCCCTGCACACACTGGGCATGGCCATGAGCCTCCCCGGGCTCCGAGTCTTGCTGGGGTGCAACCCTGCTCCTGACCAAGAACGATGAGGCACCTGTCCTGGGCGCAGGAAGGCTGCACAGGGCAGGGGCTGCATGTCTGTTCTCAGCACCAGAGCGGGCCCCTCCGGAGCAGGGCATGGGCTGCATCTCCTCACCCGCCAGCCAGGTCTTGAGAAGTGCAGGGGTCTGGCAGTAGGGCACATGAAACCCTTCTTGGGATTATACCCTGGTGTGGCAGGCTGGTCTTTCATCCCCACTGCAGCCCCCCCACCCACACTTAGAAGAAAACACAGAGACCTCAGCGTCACGCATGTCTCTCAGCGGTTTCTTATCTCCCTGGAGTCTCTCCTCAAAGCACGAAGGCTCTGATCACCCCACAAAGTCCTCAGGAATCAGCACCAATAAAAAAATACACTTTATTGTGACCTCACAGTTTGCAGGGCAGCGCAGCGGGCACAGGCAGAGGAGCATGCAGAGCACGTGGCACGGGTGCACAGGACATGGCGAAGCGGCCCCTGCCTGGGCACCTCCTCTGGACCACCCCTGCCCGCCTTGGGACCCTCAGGCCCGGCCGGGCCCCCTCCTCCCAACAACCCCCAGAGGTCCTGGCCGAGCAAACAGAGTGGCCAGGGCAGGCTTGGCCGCCAGGGCCAGCATGAGCCCAAAGGCGGGGTGGGCAGAAGCAGCTGGCACAGCTCAGCCGGAAGCCTTAGCAGCGGGAGGAGGGCGTGGGAGCCCACACCTGCCAATCCAGCCCTGAGCTCCTCAGCAATTTTGTCTCTCTTGATTAAACATCCCAGGAACATCAAGTTCACAGACATGTTTTCTTCTTCATCTTTCTGAAAACACCCAGAATGGAAAAGCAGAGAACAGCTTCAAGGTTCCTAGGGCCCCTTGACACTTTGGGGGCAGAGAGAGTCGATGGGAAGACAGGTGAAAGGGCCAGGGCCGAGGCTTATGCAGGAGACAGAAGGCAGCAAAGGCAGTGTCCTGGGCTTGTCCGGGGAGAGGGTCGGTGTGCAGGGGTGTGCAGGTGTGTGCAGGTGTGTGCACGTGCAGAGCGAACTGCTAGGGCAGGAGGCCTGGAGCACACCCAGGCGCTTGCTTTGGGAAGAACACCAGTAACTGCGAAGGGTGGACACCGGCGGGGGGTGGGCAGCATGTCTGAGACCTCCAGACTGTCCCTCCCAGTGGAGCCAGAGTGTTGGGGGCAGGGCCGGCCACCCAGCCTCCAGTCCAGCCAGTGAGGGGCCCTCTGGCCAATCCAGGAAGGTGCCTCCATGGCGGGGCGGGTGGCCCAAGAGAGGCTGCCGTGGCATTAAGAGAGGGCCACAGACACGGCGGGGCTCACCCCTGGGGAACGAGCCAGGTGGGGGGCAGCGGGGCCAGCTGCCCAGGAGACCTGGGCTGAGAGGGGCGTGGCTGAGGGAGGCTCTGGCAGGCCGCTCACTTCCAGCACTGCTCCAGGGAGCTGTGGGGCTGGATTTTGAGCTTCTGGGGGCAGAGCAGCTTGGTGAAGGCTCGGCGGAAGCTGTGATGGCACAGCGGGTAGAGGACAGGGTTGACTGCCGAGTTGGCCCACAGGAGCCAGAAGGAGGTTTCGTACCAGTAGTCAGGGACGCAGTGGCCGTGGCAGGCGGCCCGGATGATCATCAGCAGCGTGTACGGGGCCCAGCAGAGCCCAAAGATGCTCACGATGACGGCCAGTGACTTGGCCACTTTCCTGTCTCGAGACAGCCGGAAGCGCTGGGTGAAGCTCTGGGACACCATCTTCATGCGCTTCTCCAGCGAGGCCGAGGATGCCGACGGCTTGGAGCCCCTCTTGAGTGAGCGCGGCCTCTCAGTGCCCCTCGAGGAGCTGCCGGAGCTGGAGGTGGGTGAGGCTGCGGAGCCGCCCCCACCGCCACCCCCGAGGGCTGTCTCCCCAGCCTCAGCGCCCGCGGCCGCCTCACCCACCCCGTACCGATGCAGCGGCATGGCCTCCCCGTGCCCCTTCTGCCAGCAGCCCCAGCAGCCAGGCGGTGGGGGTGGCGAGGGCTGGGCCTCGGGTGGGGGCTCGGGGCCACCTGCCTCTCGAACCCCATCCAGCCGGAGGCGGGTGCGCCTCTGGATGTTCAGGTAGATGCTGAGATTGAAGAAGGTGACGCTGAGGAAGGGCGTGAAGAACTCCAGGGTGGAGGCCGTGATGAGGAAGTACCAGTTGTAGAAGAACTCAGCGTAGCAGTGGCCCTCAGGGATGGAGCTGCCCCCGGACAGGTACTCCCAGCTCAGGATGGCCGGCCCGTACAGCAGGAAGGCCAGCACCCACACCAGCAGCATCTTCCGCACCGCCCGCCGCGTGTTGCCCTGCTGGGCCCGATATGAGACCTACAGACAGGCAGGCTGGTCAGGGGCGGGGCGGAAGGAGTATTGGACTGGGTGTGCCCCTGCAGCCTGTGGGACCCTGTGTGGGCCATTCCCTCAGCAGGATGCTCCTCCCTTCCCCTCCTGTCCTCCCTCCCTCCTTCTTTCCCCTCTCTTCCCCTAACCCTCCCCACTGGGGTCCCAGGCTAGTGCCCTGCCACACTCAGTGAGAGTCTCAGAAGCTCCCTGGGACCAACCCAAATCCTCACTCTCTGTAGGCTGCCTGTTTACCACCCCTCTACGAGCTGTGAGCTCCCTGAGGGTCCTGTCCTTGGCCCCTGCACCCCTGGGACCAGACTCAGCATGGGCCCCAGACCACACGCGCACACAGCTGTTTCTGACATGATGCATCCTGATCCTGCAAAGGCCCGAGCCATCTCCAGAGGTTGGGGTGGGAGGTCCAGCCCCACTCCTGCGCAGGTGCTCGCACCCCTGGGAGCTGGAAGTGCAGGAATGAAGCCACAAGCTGGCCCACTGCTGGGAGACATCCCCCGCCCCGCCACAGAACAAAGCATCCCAGATCGACATCAGGGCCTCTGGGACAGAACAGGGAGGGAGGGCAGGGCCCTCCCCAGGGCAGAGAGCAACCAGCTGGTGGGGGCAGGGGGCAGGAGGGCCAAGGGATCCCATTGAGGGGTCCCAGGTAGGACAGCTGGAGGAGGAGGACCTGAGAACCCCTGCCACCCTCCCCCACAAGCCTGATGGCGTTTACCTTGGTGAGAGCGGGAGCAATGTTTACAGCTATTGCTAATGAGAGGTGGGCAGAGCACCCCCATGCCAGGCTCTCTGCTTGGCCGCTTTACCCTTCGTGGCAGCTCTCCTTGTGCCCCATGCCTGGTGGCTCCAGGAAAGGAGGGAGAGACCACAGGGGGATGGGCTCAAGAGGACCCCAAACCCATGCTCTTTGCACCCTGTCTCTTGGCCTTTCTAGTCTAGAACGAAACAGCCTGCCCTCAGTCCTGCAGAGGCCCCATAAAGCCCTGTGGAGGTGAGCTGCCAAGGAGATGAGAAGGGGAAGGAGTGACTTCAGCAGCGGCTCCATGGGCTGCATGGCCCTGATACAGGAGCCCGGGTGGGGCAGAGTCCCTGACTCAGGTGGCCGCTCCCACAAAGGGAAATCTGTGGAGCCAGGATCTGCCGCCTGCCTTCCCGGGGCCTGTGTGTGTGTGCACGCTTGCACACACACGCATGTGTGAGGGATGTCACCCAGGGCCTCTGGCCCCAGATCCTCCCGTAACTCTGGGGACTGTGGACCTGCCCCAGGGCGGGGGCTGCAGTGACAGCCCTGCCTTCAGGAACATCTGCACCCAGATTCCCTGCCTCCTGCCTGGGCCAGGACAGTCTGGCTGCAGCCATGGCCCGGAGTGGGCAGCTGGCCATCGAGTGGCCCATGTGTCAGCAGCAAAATCAGTGGGACCAAGCCCACTTCTGCCCACAACTCAGAAGCGGCTGTCCCCACCCTGATGCCTCCCATGGGCGTCCTGACTGTCCCTGCAGGAGTGAGCAGGGGCTCCGCAGCCCGGGACTCACGGCTCGGGTGACCGACAGGAAGCGGTCGTAGCTGATGAGCACGATGTTGAAGGCGGAGGAGGTGCACAGCAGGTAGTCCACCACCAGCCACAGCTTGCAGAGGCCCCGACCGAAGGTCCAGCGGCCGGTCAGCACATAGGGCACATACAGTGGGATGCAGAAGGCGCCTGTGGGGAGTAGGGCCACAGTGGGACCATGCAGCCAGGGGACAGGGGACAGACCGACCTAAGCACAGACACCACGGAACCTGGGCTGCTTTTCTGGGACCAGCCATCCTCATCTTACCGCCCCCTCCACCTGGTGTCAGCCACAAACTCTGCCCTGCCACCAGCCTTCACCCCCACATAGCTCCCAGCACCTCCGGTGTCCCCTGGGCCTGGGAGCAGGAGAGACGATCCAGGCATGGGGAACTCTGGCCACCACAAGACCCCAAGAGCCTGGAGTCGGGACTCCCTGGACTTCTGTCCAGCCCTCCCAGCCCTCAAAGGAGGAAAGAAGACAATTTCCTTCTCCCCTCCCCCCGCTGGACTGCAGCCCCTACCTTGGCGCTGGACAGCCCTCCCTCTCAGCTTAGACACCAGGAAAGGCTTTCCCGGCTGAAAGGGCACTTGGTTGCAGCCGCCAGCCGCCAGCCGCCACTACTACTGCCAAGCGGGCTTGGAGCGTCTGGGAGACGCACCTCACAGCCCCAACAGGTGTCTGGCACTCCAGCCCCCTCCGCGTGCCCCGCCCCCCCAGCCGGCAGCAGAGCCTGGACACGTGAGAGCGCGCTCCTTCCAGCGTCTCCCCCAACCCCCACCTTCCCCACGGTCCCCTCCCCCAACACAGCTCTAAAAATCCCCCTTCCATGTCCCCTCCCCCAGACCTTCTCTAAACCTCCCCACTGCGCCCTCCGCGCGTCCTAAGTCCGCAGCAGCCTTTGTTTGGCTACAGCGCAGGAACCAGGGCTGCACCCGCTGCCTTTGCGCCTTGCGCCTCGCCCAGTGCCTGTGTCCCTTCCCAGGGACATCTCTCTCCAGCCCCTGTCCCGAGGCCTGAGTGGCAAGGAACTTCGCCTGTGCCCCCCACACCATGGGCTCCGGACACCCCCTTCCCAGGCCGGGTCCCCTGCTGGGGCGTGTGCCTGCGGGAGCCACCCAGGTCCGTGCTCCAGTCCCTGTCTCTTATACACATCTAGATGTGTATAAGAGACAGGGCTGGAGCCCAGCCCCTGCGCTCACGGCAGCTGGCTGGGAGCCCGGCCGGGACTTGACCGGGTCTGGGGGCTCGCCTGCGGTCAGCCAGCCCGCGCACTCGGAGCCGGGGTCTGGGTTGCTCGGCCTTTCCCGTGCCCTCGGCCCTGGGGACCCCTACCCAGTCATCATGGGGAGTCCTGGAGCCTGTGGGGACCCGGGGTGGGGGTGGGGGAAACGCCTGCACCCGCGCTCCGGGGAACTTGCCCTGTGGGGCATTTCCTCGGTGCATATTTTGGGAATGTGGGTCTCCGGCGGAAGGAACGTCTGGAGAAGGGATGGGGAGGAGGGGGTCTTGGAAAGCCGGTGCCCAGACCAGGGGTCCGCTCCACCTCCCGTTTGCACGGACTAGGGGTGCCAGCCTCCCTGTGGACAGGGCCCAGTGCAAGGTCCAGGGTGACCTGCAAGGCGCAGGCAGATGTGGAGTTACATAAGGGAAGATGAGGCGCCGCGCGGACCCAGCCGGAGGGGAGCGCGTCTAGCCCGGGTTCCGGCAGCCTCAGGCTGAGGAGGGAGCAGCAAGCCGCTTGGAGTCCAGCCACGGACCCCCGTGGACAGAGGGGCAGTCGCCACTGCAGCGGACAGACCAGGTCACTGCACTCAGGGCGCAGGTGGTGGCTGTGTCAGCGCCTGTGGGAAGTGATGGGGGAGGAGAGGAGAGGTGGCAGGAGGGAGCGCCCCCACTACCAGACACATGCGCTCAGATACACCGGGTCAAGGACAGATTCCGCCTGAAACACTCAGGGCAGACAGACAGACATGCCCACACTCAGATACACAGACACCCACAGGCCAGGGAAGCAGCCACCAGAGCCAGGCTGGAGACCCACCAACAGTAAGACACACATCAGACAGCAGGCAGGGAGGGAGCTGAGCCCCAGGAGAGGGAAGCAGCAACTCCGCTCTGTCGCCAGCCGAAGGCAACCCTGGTGCCTCAAAGATGGCAGAGTGCTCGTGTCTGGGGGAGGGGCTGCAGAGGGGACCCCAGGCACTGACGTGCACCGTCAATCCCCTACTTATAGCAGCTTCCCCATCCTGTGGGGACCTACCCCTTCCCCTCACCCCAAGTGGCGCTTCACAAACTTTGGGGAGAGAGGGGCTGGGATTCCTCTGTTGCCACCTCAGGGCTGACTGCAGAGAGGAACCCCCAGACCAGTGGCCCCAGCCAGCCCACTATTCCATGGCTTCTAGGAGTCTGCTCTGAGGGGAGGGGTTCGGCTTCCCTCTCTGACTACTCGATTGTACTCATCCCACTCCACCTGCAAACCCTCTCCTCATATTGGCTCCCCCAGGTTCCCTGCACCTCACCCTAACTCACCCAGTGAGGAGGGGCTGTGCCTGGACCAGGGAAAAGTTTTCAAAGGGAAAAGTTCATGGAACTGGGCAGCAAGGGGCAGCCCTGCTGCAGCCCTTGACTCTGTCCCCACCCAAACCAGCAACTTCTTGTTGAGTGAACTCCTCCCCAAGCCCTTCTCCTCCCCAAGTACCCACTGAGGCTGCAGGAGATGGCATTGGGTGGGGGTTAAGAGGGGGGCCTGGCTCTCTCCTTCCCTGGCTGGAGCCTCAGTGTCCCCATCTTGGAATGGGGAATATAAATTGGAGCCCAAACAGAACCAACGATGAAGGGGTCTGGAGGCCGGCCCAGTCATTCTCCCTCCCCACCCCTCCTCCCCTGTCATCCACAGCTGCCCAGGCTTCCCCGTGAACTGACCAGCCCTGGAGAGCCTGGGCAGTGCCGGCCTGGGCCAGACGACCCAGACAGAAGGGGCTTTCATGGTGTTTTCTCTGCCCCACAGCCTCAGGGGGGACAGCTCAGCTCACACCTGCCCCACAGCTGTTCTGAAACCCCTGCGGAGGCTGCACCAAGACCCAGGGGCCCATGGAATCTGGACCCACAGGCGGGGAATCCCACACAGCATGGCATCGGCCAGGAGACCCATTTCTGCAGCCCATCACCACAGTGGTGACACATATCCATCACATGCCTGTGGGTCACCTCAGGGCACCCTCGTGGGAAGTCAGAAGGAGGCCCCGGGGTTCAACTCCTGGCAGTGGGGACCCAGCTGTGTGACCCCGGGTGAGTTACCAAACTTCTCTGAGCTGCTGTAAATGGAGGCTGCCTGGAGAGGAGAGGGCCTGGCTTGGCCCCGAGGTCTGATCATGACCGTGGCTGGCGGCCGTGAACGCCCCCTATCGACCAGACTCGGTGGGAGTGCTTGGTATCTGACCTCACCAGCCCCTGCAAGGCCATAAAGTTGGGCAGGACTTGCCACCCTGCAGCGCTGGTGAGCCCCTTGCCCGAGGTCACACAGGCCCACCCCCTCCCATGGCCACATGTCCAGCCCAACCTGAGGTCAGCAAGCGCACCAGGGTGACCAGCAGCCATGCGAGAGGCCCATGTCCTTGCCCAAACAGGAGGGCAGTGTCCTCTGGGCTGGAGCCTGATGCGGCCACAGCAATGCAGAGTGCATGTGCTGGTCCCTGTGTAGCCTGTCTAGCCCTGGGAGGCTCTGTCCCAGGGAGCGGCTATGTTGTGTACCTTGTGATGAAAAAAGAAAGTGACCAGGGGAGACCATCCCTGGATTCATGGGCAGAGGCCAATGTCCCGTCAGGCTGGTCCGGGCAGGGGAGAAAAAGGACTAGAGATGGAGACAGGAGCTCTGGGTCAGAGCCATGTGGATGGCCAAGTGACTATGGGCCTAGCTTGTTGGTTTCGTATCACAAGCAAACACCCACCAGAAGCCATCCACCCTGAAGACATGACATTAGCAAGCCGCTGTCATTGGCCACCCTCGAACTGGGATGTTCAAGGTGAGTGCAGTGAGGCCCCATTGAGTGCAGTGGCCACCCTGGAGGCTATGTGTGGGCCGAAGGGCACCGACCCCCACCTCCCAAGGCCCATCTGCTGCTGCTGCCTCTGAATGTCTGACCGCCAACAAGGGTTCAACACCCAGCCCCAAGTAGGGGACATTCTCTGAGGACAGCAAATAGCTGCTGGCGAACTGGCTCCATGGGTCCCCTTCCCCTAGTCCTCATGGGCCACAGACCTGCTCTGGGTGTGGCCTCTCTTGCCTGTTGAGCCTACCCTGCAATCCAGGGGCCTATGGACTCCAGATCCACAGGCAGAGACTCCTACAGTGTGGCATCTGGCCAGGGGACCCTCTTCCCAGGAAGTCGGAGCCAGCATGGCCCCCTGGCCATGGGCCCACCAGGGTCTGGCCTGCCACACCACCCAGGAGCAGCCTCCGGAGGCACACCAGCCCGGGGCACTCACCTTTGAGGCTGGCGCTGCCCTGCAGACAAGGATGACAGAGCAGAGACCTTTCCATGGTGCCACGTCTACCAACAAGAAGACTATAGGCCTTCAGGACCAGGGAAGGAGCAGGAGGGGCCCCGTCTGGCATCCATCAGGGGAATCCATGCTTTCCAAACTCTGGGCTCTGTAGGGCTCAAGCTTCTCCTCTCTGAGGCACACTGGGGATACACTGGGGATGGCTCACTGGGGATGGACCTGCTCACTGGGGATACAGCTGTGGATGGCTCCCAGGCACTTTGAGCTCCTGAGCTCCAGCAGACAAGACGAGGAGCCACCTTTCTGTCAGGGTGAGTGGCCCTGATCAGCAGGAGGAGGTGGGGCCGCTGTTTTCAGAACAGGAGGGTGGGAGGGGCTGAGTGTGAGACTCAGGGCCCTCTTGGGCGCCACGGCACCCCCTGGCCCGATTGTTTCTGTGCATGGACAAGTGCGGCCACCCCAGCCTGAGAAAGTCCAGTGGCCAGGGCGCAGGGAAGGAGCGTGAGCCTCCAGGACCTGCAGTGGCCACAGCCGAGGTGGGAGAGTGCAGGACGGAGGGAGGGAACGCATGCCAGGTGGGGCCCCAGCTCAGCTGCCCCTGTGCCCTGACCCCCGATCCTTCACAGGCCTCACCCCAACACAT